ACCCCGAGTGGGGTGTAGTCATACGCGTCACATCCTGCGTTTTGGGGAAGCATGTACAAGCATCCAGCATATTTTCCACGCTAACAGGTCCCTTTTGTGGCTACAAGGGACCTGGCTCAGCATGTACAGAGCATAATTAATGTATTTTAAGTCCAAAGTCTTGGTTTATTGACCATCTTGTCTAAATCCTTCCCCATAGAACACATTTTCTCCTAACTGCCTGGTGGACTCTGAGCCACCCTCAAGTCTTCCCTTGGAACCTTGTTTATCCCAACACACATTTCTAGCACCCCATGTCCATTTCCTTTAGGGTCCACAGTGACTGGCCACTGTTCTCCTCTCCAGAGTTACCTGTATTATCCATTGCGTTGGACAAGAGGTAGGAGCCTTCGGAACTTAGACTCAGGCCGGTCACTGAGTCTGCATGGCCTCTCATGGTGTAGGTGAGCTTGTTCTGGCGCAGGTCCCAGACCTGCAACAGCAAAACGGTGCTTCCAGAAGCCAGAACTGAGAACAGCAGAGAAATCGACTACTCGAGAGTCAACTGTCCAAAGAAACTGTCTTCCCTTCTTAACCTGGCTCTGGGCCAAATGTTGCTTTACCACAAACGGATTTTTGCCAGACAAGAAAAACCTTTCATCTGAAGAGAGTTAAAATTACCGTTTGAATACCGATATAAAATAACAGAATAGAGGTTATCTTCAAATCACAATAAAGTCTTCACTTATGTCATAATAACGTGTGTGTACATGCGCACGTGCGCGCATGCACACATACACACACTATGAAAAAGCGTATTTATTTAATGACACAGGGAATGTGCGCTTGCCAAACCGAGAGAGAGAAAGTAGCATGTGCACATTCCCTCAAAGCGGCCTGGTCACACCGCAATCTTCCTTTATTCATTCATCTTTTCTGTTGGGATCTCCTGGGTACACATCCCTAGTGTTTTTCTTTATTCCCATTTTTTTTTTTCTTTATTTTGACCAGAGATGGACAGAGGAAAAGAGAGAGAGGGAAAGTGAGAAAGCAAGCCGCCAGGTCTGGGACCCGAACCCTAGTCGGCTATGTGGGAGTCCAGCGCCCTTAAACACCATGCCACCTGTTGGCCCCCTACCTGGTGTGCTTTTTTAAGCCACCAAGCTGGGACTTGAACCATGGTGAACTATGTGGGACCTCGCTCCCTCTGTATAGCCCTTAACCACCGCACAACACGGCTAGCCCATATTTATTAAAAAAAAAAAAAAATGCAGATTCACTATTATCTGTGTAGAAAGGAAAGACAAAGAATTTAGTTGGATATAGCCTAAATGTGAAACAGGGAAAGTAAAAAGCGATGGTTTGTTGTGGCGTAGTCGTGAGCACACTGCAATACTCTGCATCCTCACGCAGCAGACAAGGCAGAGTGGAGACTCAGGGTCAGGATAAACCTGTATCTGGCACTTAACAGCTAAGTGTAACTGGATTTCTAACCCCTTCAAAACCTGTGCCCTGGTCTATAAGATAAAAATAACGGGGTCAGCAGGTGGCGTGGTGGGTGGTTAAGGTGCTGGACTCCCACATGGCTGACTGCAGTTTAAGTCCTGGAACAGAGGTCTCTCTCTCTTGGCACACATGCCCTATAGCAAATTTAAAAATAACAATAATAATACATAAAATTACATGGACAATTCTTTTTTTTTGAGAGAGAGATTTTTGCTCAAGGGCATGTGCACTCGGCAGAGAGAGAGGGAAACAGAAAGTGAGAAATCACGCCCTGGGGGGATGGCCACACTGCATCCCTGGTCCTCCACTGCGGCACAGCCGTACTCCCACCCCCGTGACTGCCACTTTGTCTAAGAGAACAATGTCTCTCTTCCCCAGCCCTGCTGAGAGTCTTCACTCTCCCATCTCTCACTCTCATTCCTTTCCTACCCTCATGCTACTGCACCTTTTTCCTGGCCTCTCCGTAGCCATCTAATTCCTCTTCTCCCTGCTAGACTGAGTGCTCCTAGAGAGTGGGGACTGTGTCTTTTTTTTTTTTTTAAATCCCCAATAAGGTCCGCCACTAATCAAATGGTCAGATGTTTGTCGCACAGCTGATTAGGACCTTTGTACAGAGTTTTGTGTAAATCAGTGCCATACTCAACTCTTTCCGTGGCAAATTCCCATATACTTTTGGCTATAAACAAACAAGGTGTGCAGGCCTCGAGAAGGACAGAGATGTCTGGAAATCACACAGGTGCTGAGAGGGGCACCAAAGTGCTCCTGTCCTAGCTGTTACAAAGCTAAAGGTTTCAATGGTGCCTTCTCAGAAGAGGAAGAACAGCAGCCTTAACAAAACGTCCACCGTTTCAGCGTTCCTGGTTACCGAGGGAGCAAACAGCCTGGCACAGAAAGTTATCACACAGGGACCAGCAGATGGCATAATGGTTACATTGCTGGACTCCCATGTAGTTAACCACGGTTCAAGTCCCGGACCTAGCGACTTAAAACTCTGCCAGTTGCATGTGCACCCAAGATTCTGAGAGGAGAATGGAGGAAAAGGGATTGTGGTATGGCCATCCTCCCTGGGAGGTAATTTATGGCTTTCTGTCCCTCTCTGCCTCTCCAGCGAATACATATGCCCTTTAGTGAAAATTTGTATGTGTATAAAAAATTCTTTTTTTTTTTATTTTTGAAAAGGTTTTTGCTATAGGGCGCGTGCGCTCGCCAGACAGACAGAGAGAGAAACAGAGAGATAGAAAGCGAGAAATCACCCCCCCCAGGGGGGATGGCCACGCCACAATCCCTTCTCCTCCATTCTCCTCTTGGGATCTTGGGCACGCACGCACACGCGCCTGGCGTGAATTTAAGCCACCGGGTCCAGGACTCGAACCACAGTCGACTACGTGGGAGTCCAGCAACATAGCCATTACACTAACTGCTGGTCCCATGATATAAAAAATTCTACATAATAAGCCATTAAGCAAAAAAGGAAAAATACAAACAGTATATTTATGTAGACTGCAACTACTTAAAATATTTAACGTGTACTATAGTAAACAAAACCAATCCATGTCATATGTGAGAAGAACAGCAATTTTGTTAAGATCATTGGCACTATACAAAATGCATCCCAAATTTGATTTAACACTGCTGTATTTTTTCTATGTCAATAAATGTGTGCTGTCTCTAAACAGCGAAGTAGAAGGTACATCCTGGTAACGGTAACGTGTGAAGGCAGAGGCATGAGAAATCTGCTGGACTGTGGACAACAGGCAGAGAGAGGCAGCAGGCGAGGCTGGGGAGGTAGGAGGCAGAGGCCAGCTCATCAAAGGTTTGGAAAGCCTGGCATGGCCTTTATCCCTCTCCCTAGGGAACCACAGAAGAGTTCAGAGTTGGGGAAATAAATTGGTCAGATGTCATTCTAAAAAGATCCTTCTGATCCGAGGATTAAAAGGAAAAGACTAGAGGGTGAAAAATCAACGAGCATATTTGGGACCAGCAGATGGTGTAACAGTCACATTATTGGACACCCACAGTCGACCACAGTTTGAGTCCCGGACTCAACAGCTTAAAACTCACTCTGGGTGCATGTGCGTGCATACCCAAGACCCTGAGAAGAGAATGAAGGAGAAGGGATTGTGGCATGGCCATCCCTCTGAGGGGGTGATTTCTTTCTTTCTGTCTCTGTCTCACTCTGGCGAGCGCACGTGCCCTATAGCAAAAATCTCTCTCTCTCTCTTACAAAACAAAACAAAACAAAACAAAACAAAATAAAACACACACATGTAACTGAACTCCCACCCTGACTGCCGAAGCACTTCCGCCAGAGCGTGAAACCCTCAAGCAGCAACACATTTTCTTTTCTCATGTTCCTCAGACTCTCCAATCCTAATTCCAGGATGAAGGTTTTAAGAGATTGGTAGTAACAACGTATCTGCTCACCTCAGATTTTTTTTTTTTTTGCTAGGACATGCTGGAGAGAGAAGAAAAATTAGCCCTCATGGAATGGCCATGCCAGAATCCCTTCTCCATTTCTTCCTCCTTTTGGACAAGATATACCTGGCATATTTTTCTTTCTTCTTAATAAACAAACATATACCTGGCATATTTTTCTTTCTTCTTAATTTTTTTTAGGTTAGGTGTGCTCATCAGAGACAGAGTAACACAGAGAGTGGGAAAGAAGTAAAAAATCTCCTCACGGGAAAGACGGCTACACCGCAATCCCTTCTCCTCTAATCTCCTCTTGGGCTTCTGGGCATGTGTGCACACTCCCCCTGCATGATTTTCAAGCTGCTAGGTCTGGGATTTTTAACCACAGTTTGCCATGTAGGAGCCCAGTGCCTTAACCACCATGCCATGTGCTGGCCCTTCACCTCAGCTTTAAAAGGGGTTCCCGGGGACCAGCAAGTGGCATGGTGGCAAAGGTGCTGGACACTCCCACATGGCTGACACGGTTTGATTCCTGAATCCGCTCTGTGTGTGTGTCTCGATCAAATTAAAATAAATGAATCAATAAATAAATGAAATAGAATTCTTTAAAAGGGGTTCCCATTTCCTATTGGTTTCCCCTGTCCTGTAATAGGCAACACTGTGATAGACTGAGAAGAAAAGAAAAAAACAGGCTCTTTGAGAAGTATCTCCGAATGTAGTGAGTGACTTGTCAAGCAACAGCTCAAGACTGGTAAGGCTTTAAGTGCTCAGAAGGTACTTACTTGCTAACTGACTGGAGGCAACAAGACAGAGTGGAAAGATTATCAGCCCTTTGGAGCTAGAGCTCTGGTCCTGGCTCTACATGGACTGACTGATCTGATCAACTCTCCAATCTTGGCCACATCCTTTTGTTTTGTTTGTTTTGGTTTCGTTTGGTTTGTTTTCTGAGGATGGCAAAAAGCCACATATTTTAACCACTCAGAGTCTTACTTCAGTCATCTACAAAATAAGAGAATACTGGCCCTGTAAGTCAGCAGTTAAAGGTTCTAGATCCCACGTGGTCAACCCATGGTTTAAGTTCCCACTCTGGTGGCTTGAGAAACACACTGGGCGTGTGTGCCAAGATTCTGATGGGAAACAGGGATGGAGGAAGAACTGTGGCATGACCATGCTTCAATGGGGGATGCGTCTTCTTCTCTTTGGCAAGAGCACCTGCCCTCTGGACAAAAACAAAAACAAAAACTGCAAAGTACGAAGATGGACCAGATACATAAGGTAATTTTCAGGTCTGACATTCCTCATTCTTTTTCTTTTTGGTTTTTAAGTTCACTAGGGCACATTCATTCACCAGAGATAGTTACCAAGAGAGACATACAGAGACAGAGGCAAACTGAGAAAGCAACCCCTAGAGGGATGGCAACACCATAATCCTTGCTCCTTTGCTTTCCTCTTGGGGTTTTGGGACAGGCATGCACATGTACCCGGTGTCTTTTTCAAGCTGCCGGGCACCACACATTTGATCTTTGGGATCCAGCCACCCTAACCACTGGCTGGCCCCAAGTCTGACATTCTTCA